AGAATTTATAATATATATATATATATATATATTAAACTCCTTAGGGATTAGCATAAAAACGTTATATTTAATCTTTAAATGTTAAATAAAAAACACAATTTTTTTTGCAAAAGATGAATGTACAAAAAAGAAGCAACTACATACCACCCAAAACTTGTTATTTACAAATGAACCAACCTCTTTCATCCATTATTCAAATTCTCTCTCAAGTATCAAAATTTATGTTAAAATCCCAATTCATATTTTTCATTTTTATTAAAATTTTATTTAAAAATGACACCTAGCCCACACAAAAATCACCATATTAAATGGTTTTAAAAAAAAGAAAATACAGTCAATACATAAAAGATCTAAAAAAATAAAAACTAAAAAGTGCCAAAATAGGAGTATTAGGTAGCTGGAGAACGACTCAATTTTGCCTTGCCTCGGCCTCTAGTTCTAGGGAAGGAGCCAACTAATAATTTGATTAGATGAGTGTCATTGTCAGTAGTAACTAATGCATCATCCAATAGATTCCCTAGATCGAACAGTCCTCCGTTCTTTTTCTTCCTCCTCGTGTAGACCTGTCATTCCTCATACGAGGATTTACTCACCTGATCAGCAGAATGGTCTGAAGTGTGTAGAATATGTGTAAGTTGTTGAACATTAGAGACAACTACTTGTTGTACCAGCTGATCTTCTTTCGGGTCGAAAGAGCACTCTCGTGTGGCTTGGAATGTAAGTGAGACCTCTTTAATTACGGTAAGTGGTATCAGCACATTTGGATCTGTACCTGTAGTAAGGTGTTCTTCATCTGAAACTGCGATATTGGAAAGAGGATCGGATTGCACTTTCATAGCAAGGATGGTAGATGACTGATCTTTAGCGATATTCAGCCTTAGATGAGGATGCAAACGATAGCAAATATTAGAATTGTGGCCAAACATACTACAATGTGAGCAATAAGGAGGATGTGGTTCTATTTTAACATTTTGCCAATACCCGTTGTGAATAGTGTTAATTCATTGTGAATAGTGTCAATCCATATCTCATCCGGAGCTGGTTGAGTGATATCTCTCTCAACTAAAACACAATCCACAGACTGTCTGGTAACAACAATCGTAGGACTATTCACCTTGAGAGGCTTATCGTAAGCAGTTGTTAAAGAGTAGAGGATTTCCATATTGAATAGATGTAATTTTAACCCTAGAAACTTTATCCAAACTGAAATGATAGGGGACTCCGCTTTTGGATCAAAACCGACAGTCCACTTCAGAATTTTCATAAAACGATTGTCAATCTCGATAGCTTTTGAGAGAAAATGCAAATGTAATCGGCATTGTGAGATAGCTGAATAAGTATATATCGACAGTCAAGTAGGTCAATGTTTCAATAATGTGTCAACTGCCTAATAGTTTCATAGCATTAAACTCGTTCCTAATGATCTCCAATTTTGGGTGACCATAAAGGAATTTCCTTACAAGGGCAAAACGCCAAAAGGACGCGAGAGTATCGGTTTCCTCCTCTGTGAAAATAAGTGTAGGCTTCCCATTTTTTTTTCAAGTTTTTTTAATAAAAGTGTGATCACTTCCACCTTCAAGAGCCTCGTGGAACGATTGTGGAACATTGCAGGGCTTACCGATAGCAAAATCAGACTCTGAACCTCGAGGAGGGGCACTAGCAGAAATGGGCAAGTCGCCGGCAAGGGCATTTTCATAGGAATGAAGCATCGAAACCATCTCCCTGACAAGATTGTCACAATCAGGAGAGACACAGTTTGACAGGCTGCAAAGAAGCGAGCAAACGGGCGCTGTCGGGCGAGGAGACAGCCGCGATGTCGTCGGTTGCGGGAGACGAGACAGCTGAGATGTCGTCGCTATGAGAGAAAGCGTTGTCGTCAAATGAATCAGACGACGATGGCAGTAGCAATCCTTGTCGACAATAGAGACGACTTGGAGCGCTCGACTTCAACATGAGAGACAGGGAGCTGCAGCTACGTGAACGTTGTCGTGGGAGACGCCGAAGAGAAGCGATTAAGCCGATAGAATCACCATTCCGTCGTCTCCGTCGTCTCTGCTAGGGCAACCATCTTTATATATATATAAAGAAAGAGAGAGAGAGAGAGAGAGAGATGCATATATCTATATATATCTATGTATATGTATTTCTCACACACACACCATTGCTTGATCTACAGTTTTGCTGTTGCGAAAACTATTTTGCTTGCGAAAACTATTGTGTAACTGGATTGAGCTCCTGGGCTGGTCAAGGCTAGTTTATTAGAATAAATAAATAATTAATTAATTATTTGTGTTTGTGTAAGGGAATCTCAAAATATTTTCTTTAGCTTGGCCCGCTTAACAATTGGGCCCAAAAATGAACTCCGTAGCAAGCTGATCACGAGTTGATTACAATCATTAGCATTCATAAGCTTTTTTTAACCACCTCCCCCCCCCCCCCCCGCGGGGGGGGGGAATCGTTTGTATGTTGATTTTTTTAATGTGCTCGTAGTTAATTGATGGGATGGTACTCATTCACCCAATTATAAATATGTTTATATAAGGTAGTTGACTGTTTGTGTCAAGCTTATGGAAAAACTTGGGTCTTCATATCTTTGCACAACTAGGTCTGTTGGATAATATGTGCAGAACAAAAGCCTGTGGCAATGCAGTCATTTATTAAGGAATAGAAGCTCCAATGCATTACCTTATACGGTTGGTGGTATTGCATTGATCAGATGTTAGATCATGTAGAACTGATTCGCAATCCGAGCAATCTAATTCATCAACTAAGAATGTACCTTAAACTCCCAACAAGCCCGCACACACTGCATAATAAAGAGAAAATTATTGAGAATAGGAAAAAACAGAAGATTTTTTTTTTTGTTCCATCTTCATTCTTTGTTAGGTCTAAATCTGTATCTTGCATTGAATGAAAGCTCTAACATAAGAATGGCCTAGTTGCATTGTTTTGGTGGCTTACAAAAGGAAATCACATTTGCTTTACTGAACAGGAAGCCATTGTCAGAAGAAAATTTTCTATTGACTACCCAAAGTATTGCATAAATCTAACAGGAAGCTATTTCATCAGTGAGTAATTTCATTGGACACTCAAGGATGTAGATTGACCTGTTTATACAGTTAATTCTATGAGCTTTTACCCGAAAATAGTTTGGGACACTCTTATCCCCCAATTTGAGGATTTTTTTGATAATTCGTCTCTTACCATTCCATTTTTCAATTTTTACTAGCTTTTGAACCACCTGGTGAAATATTGCATGGCCCTTTTTGTTGATGTACTGCTTTGTACAAGGATGGCTGATAGTGTTCTTATATCACAAGAAATTAAAGCTCTTCTTATGCTAGCATGAATATGTGGTTTGCATGGTAGATATCCATGTTATTTTCTTTGTTATATGAACTTGCTCACGATAACTAAAGAAGAAACAAATGAGGGTGTCAGAATTTTGGCATACTCACTAAATCATATATGCATGCACCAGTTTGGTAATAAAACCAAGATTGCGGGAAGAGAAAAATATATGCCTGCACCTAAGAATGTGTTTTAGAGCTTGATTATATTCTCACAATTGTAATCTAGGTTGTTATGGAGGTGTCAATTTCATGTGGGTTAAGTTCGAGATTGACCTGAACTTAAGTCGACATGAACCTACATTACCCAGCCGACCCCACTTAGGAGGATAAAAGCTTTTTGTTGTTGATGATGATGTTGAACCTCATGACCCAAACTCTACCTATTTATTAACAGGTCAGAAAGTTTGTTCCTAATCAGGCTTATCTTCGACGTGGAGCGTAAACCCAACTTGAGCAACACATTTAAGATTAGGCATAATAGTCATCATGTATTATAAATTCATTTTTTTTGGGTTAAGTTTGGGCTAATTTTGGGTCAAGTTTGGGTTAGATTTTCTGGTCAATCCCAACGCGAACTAAAAATTAAATGCAAGATTCTATATTTAGGAATGCTATAACTTTTTGTGAGTTAACACAAACCCAAATTTTCTTGATTGGATTTTTGTGTAGGATCATTTATTAATGTTGTGAAGTTCTTAAGCTCTCTAGTGTTAAGGCATGTAAAAGTATTGATTTTAGTTGCACATTAAATAGTAAAATATATGTCAGTTTTGAAATACTAATTGGTTTGTCCTCAGCCATAAGTTTGAGATTTTGGGTTAAAACTATGTTTGATGATTGGTATCAAATTTAATTTTGGTACGAATTGATTCCACATTGCTTGACAAGTGGGAACATAGCTAATTGTTCAGCTGAGATCAAATGGTTTTTGCAGTTTGCAGCTCCTATGGGTTTTAGAGGGCTTGTACGAGTGTCAAGAAAAATTCTAGAGTTGGTGTATTCTATAATGGACTGGAGTGATTAATTGAGCTCTTAGTATGCAATACTAGTGGATTGTTAATGCACATGAGTGTATGGGATTTAATCTATCATTAAGTGAAAAATAATTTATATTGAAACACTTGGTGGCTGACCTTTGCTCACATGATTGTGATTTAAATAGAAAAATAATTGACCATTGGTGTGTTCCCTTTCGTTCATCCTTCCTACATCATGGTCCATTTTCTAATTCTGCGTGGTATCTGGAAGTCAGAATTGTTCATTTCTCTTTTAGGATGAATGAATGGAGAGATTGTGGCTTAATTTTATGGTCTCAGGGTCAAGTGCATCTCGAAGGTGTATCAATCATAAGTTAGAACAATAGTTTGTAGGGAGACAAGGATTTTTCTCCATATTTTGCCCGCTATTAGTGTTCTACAAGTTTTATCATGCCTATTATATCCACTTTTTTCAACAAAGATAACTTAAAAGTTAACTGTATTAAAGCTTAAAGTCATTTCATGTTATCAATTTAAATTACTTCTGAACCTTTCAATAGCCACATGTGGTTTTATTATTGAATAATCTTTGAGGTTATTATGAAAATGTCATACTAATTTATTTTTTTACCTCAAAACAATAGATTAAGTATATCTTTTTTAAAAGCAGGGGCTCATCAACCAACTTAAAGACGCAGTCCCAGTAATGCAGAAGTCAATAGCGGACCTGACTGAAGAAGTGAATAGAATTTCACCAATTGCACTAGATGAATATAATGAGCGATTAAGCTCGCCAACCCAGGCCCGAAGCAGTGGAAGGATACAAGTATGCAATTATTCTTTCGGGTTGAGTAATATATTTTATTATGACGCTGTTTCAGCTTTTTGCCTGAAACTGTTTTAAAATATCTTGTGGTTATATTTTGTTGCAGGAAAATACAGATCAACTGGCTGAGATGGCTTCCAATCTCTCTCTTCAATCTGGAAAGGTTTCTGGCAGCCCGCTTCTCAAACTTCCACATTTGTTTAGTCTTACTCCAAATTCATCAGGAAAGAGTATGCATTCTGGAAAGCGGCATGCCACAGCTGCTCCACCCGCAGCTAAGTCAGAAAATATTCTTGCAGTGAAGTCAGTAGGCCAACCTTTTGGAAATGATTGTGAAGAAGTTGCAGCAGAAGGTTAGCCTTCGGTACCAGCTAATTCCGTACTTACCATAAACATGTTTCTTATACAAATATTGAGTAAAAAGTCCTCTAATTATTTACATGAGATCATTTTAAGGTGTGTTTGGGGCGGTTGTTGCTTTTTGAAGCAACAACTTCACAGGTATTGTCAAAAAGCTGTTTTTAGAATAACAGGAGTTTTTTTTTGGATAATTTGTTTTGTTGCTGCTGTTTCTGATGATAAATGTTGTTATCCCCTTATATGTGTAATTTATTTGAATGACTGTACTTTTGAAAATAGTTATAACAAAATAACAAAAACAGCTCCAGCACTAAAAAAACATGTTAGGAGTCCAAATTTCTTCAATACATCAATTGTAAGTAATCATTTCATGCATAATACCACAATAGTAAGCACTATAAAAATAACCAGCAATGCTATAATGCCTTTGGCCTTGATGTCCAGTCAATCAAGTCTTCAGAATAATTTTTTCTACAGTATTTCTCCTCATTTGATCACTATCTGGAGCAAACTCATCTATATCTTTAGCCTAACGAAAATACCAACAAACTTCACATGTTCTATGTCTGGCACAACAATAAAATATCCTCTCATACCTATCTCTCATTTTGATGTGTCCTCAGAACATTGCGCACCACAGTGACAATATATAACTATTTAAGTACTTGATGACCTTGAACTCATTTTTCTTGAGATTATAATACATTATAGTTTTAATTGACAACTAAAGTAGATATGCAATCGAACAATATAAATTTTTTTTGGTTTCATAATCAGAAAAAAAAAATATAGAAAGTAAACATCAATAAATCTTCAATACAAAACACTACATAAATATAGAAAGTAGTTATCTACAAATCCTAAATACATCTGAATAGTAAACATCTACAAGAAGGCACTACACAACACTACATAAAGACGTTGGATGAGTTCTCCAAAACATCTATAAGCTCTTCTTTTAACTAGATCCTCTCCTGTACATCCTTCTCTTCGAATGCGTTGAAATAATTCATACCAAGTCTTCATCAGACAATTGTTGTCTGAGTCAATGTTCGAATATTTCCACAAGTATGCATGTTGGATTTTCATCTAAGTCTTGAAATCAATATCGTCCCGAGAAGGATACATCTGTGTAAAATTGTATAGCATTATCATTACAACAACCATCTTTATCTATTTTTTGAAAGAATATGTCAGCATATCTCGGAGTATGACACTTCTTATATACGTTGAATGCTCTCTCAATAACACTTTATAATGATTAGTTTTTTTTGTTGAACAATTCATTCTTTTCTCTAATCACTTGGTCGTTACACTCAAAATAAAAAGTGGTAGATCTTGTCGGGGATGAACTTTAAGAAATCTTGTTACAATGGATATTCCGAATCGACAGGGTAATATTTCTCTGAATAATAAAATCTTTACTACATATATTCTCAAATCAAAGGTTTCATATATTGTCATGAATGTACTAACTTGGTGAAGACATTGGAAATTTATGTTAATGTTGTCGATTTACAAATTTGTTCTTCCACTGGATTTTGTTATACAGCCTTCCTAGTTTTTTTATGAAAGTCTTTAATAATATTTTGTCAACCTTTCTTATTGAAGTATTTGGTTGGTTTATTGTGAATTTGTATCTCTTTTAAGCATAAACCGTTGAATATGATCTTTGCCTCCCTCTCCCAAATGGTTGATATCACACCTTCCTTTTATTTACCCATTTCGTTTATCATGTAGATAAAATATTTGGAGGAAAAAAAAAATAGTTTGGCCTACAATTAAAAAATAATTATAAAAACTGAAGAAAAATTAAAAAAAAAAATAACATATCGAATTAGAGCTCAATGAGATCAGTTTGTCAAAGAATGCCCCATCCAAGATCACCGACTATATCATAGAAACTTTAAGACGTGATAGTATCTTTGCTTAACAGTGGCATGTGTGATCTAAGACCTGGTAGTATTCGTAGTTAACAGTGTGATGTGTGCGTTAAGACCATGTAGTATTTGTGGCAAACATGTAGGGACAATTATATAACTGACAATTGGTAATCAGATGAGCTCTTCTTTTTTTTTCCATGATTGCTCTGCGTACATTACAAAAACCAAAGCCGTCAAAACCACGCCCAAGTGGTTGTGCCTTGGTGCTTCACAAGTTCACTGCCACAACCAGAAGCAAAACCACACCTTTTAATAACAACAACAACAAGCCTTCATCCTACTGAGTGGGGTCGACTATATGAATATTTTTTCTCTATTGCATCCTATTAAGTGTCATTTTTTCATTTAATTCTAATAGATTAAGATCATTTTTTGTACAATATGCCAAATTATTTTTATGTTAACCTCTGCCTTTCTTAACATCAGTCGAAACTAAAACTTTTACTCTCCTAATCAGATCATCAGATGGTTGACATTTAATGCGACCAAACCATCTAAGACGACTCCCTCTAATCTTGTCTGCCACTGTTTGCTACACCAGCCCTATCACTGATATATTCATTTCACATTTTGTTTCTAACCTAAGCACTCTCACCTTGGCAAAACTTAGTTTTATGCTTCTCTTTTAAAGGCCAACATTCAGTGTCATAGAGCATTGCAAGTTGCACCACCATCTTATAAAATTTTTTTTTCAGTATTTAAGCAATATTTTTCTTTTACAATATGCCCAAAGCATTCCTCCACTTCAGCCAACCAACTTGAACTCTACCAATAATATTCTCATCTATATCACCATCATTTTGACCTGAGTTATCTAAAACTTTTAAACCTTTTAATGATTTGATCACCCGTAGTTACATCTCTGTCACTAGAATCACTACTATTAAAATTATATTCCATATATTCAGTTTTAGTTCTACTCAAACGAAGGCCTCTAGACTCGATTGTAGAGCTCCATAATTCAAGTTTTTTCCTTAACTCTTTCTCCAGTCTTATCCATAAAAAGGATATCATTAGCGAAAAGTATACACCGAGGTATATCTGCATGTATATGTCTAGTAAGAGCATCCATAACTAAAGAAAAAAAAAATATGAGCTTAAACTTGATCCCTAACGTAATCCAACTGAAATAGTAAAATACTTGTTCTATCCTCCTGTTCAAACACAAGTAACAACTCTAGCATACATATCTTTAATGACTTGAATATAAGTCATATCAACACCTTTCTTCTCGAGAACACTCCAAAGGACTTCTCTTGGAGCTTTATCCTAAGGTTTTTCTAAATAAATAAAAATCATATGTAAATTCTCTTTATTCTCTTTTCTTTTTATTCCCTTTGTACTTCTCCATCAAACCTCTCAATAAATGTATAGCTGTCATAGTACACCCGCCCAACATAAATCCAAACTGATTAAGAGAAATCTTTGTATCACGTCTTAACCTATGTTCAATTGCCCTCCCCCATAATTTTTAAAGTATGACACATCAACTTAATTCCTCTATAATTTACACACTCTTTGCATCCCCTTTATTCTTAAAAATGGGGACCAAAATACTTTTCCTCTACTTCTCAGACATTTTTTTAGTTTTTAAAATAATATTAAAGGGTTTAATAAGCCAAGAAATTCCCAAATTTCCTAAATATTTCTACACTTCAATTGGGATATCATGGGTCTTACTGATTTTTTACCCTTGCTTTTTTTAACCATATCAACTTCTTTTTTTACTACTGTGAAGATAAAAATAAAACGTTCTTCAAACAACACTTCACATTTCAATCGGCAAGATCCAAATCACGATAGAGAGAAAATCGAGAAGCGCACGGGCACAATCAGTTCAAGTTAAAGGGAGAAGCCCAACAACACAACCACTTTAGACGCAAGGAAATTTAAATTTTTAGATGCTAGATATGTACATGCATAAGAATAATGTGATGTGCTTGTAAATTCCTCTTCAAATAGAACTTCACATTTCAAATGGTAAGAACCAAACAACACAGAGAGGAAAACCGAGAAGCCCAAGATCATAACCACTTCAAGTTCAAGCTAGAAGCCCAAGGCACAAACGCTTTAGACGCAAACAAATTTAAATTTGTAGATGTGAGATATGTACATTCATAAGAATTGTGTGGTATGCATGTAAATTCCCCTTCAAACAACACTTCACGTTTCAAACAACAAGAACCAAACCACAACAGAAAGGAAAATTGAGAAGGCCAAGGGCACATTTCAAGTTCAAGCAACAAGTATCAAACCACCACCACACAGAATAGCCAAATCACCAAATCAAATAGGTAAATTGGAAAGCAACAAACCACCACTAAGGAGGACTTCCAGGAAGCCCCATTGGCAATACCACAAGCAACAAACTATCAACAGAGAGGAAAACCGAGAAGCACAATAGAGAAATCAAATAATTAAAACAGTAAGATCACCATCCCAAAGGACAACCGGGAATCCCCATCGGCACCATCACAACATATCACAAGGGAGCGACGATAATATCGGGGAAAGAGCACCATCCCAAAGGACAACCGGGAATCCCCATCGGCACAATCACAACATATCACAAGGGAGCGAGGGTAATATCGGGGATAGAGTAGAGGATTTACCGAATTGTAGAAGGTGAGATAGTCATTTCTCACCCAGAACTTTATTAGAACTGCAGAACGGAGGCTCCTGCTGGCGTTTGGCATTTCGTTGTTCCGAAAATGGGCGGGAACCAAAAGCAGGTGACAAACAATTCCCAAATGGCATAGCATTTCTTTTCAAAACGATAAGGCCGCAAAAAACCCTCCCAAATGCACATTTAGTCCTATAGTCTATAAAAGTGTCAAATTAGTCCTCAATCTCTTTTAATAGGGGGTGAAATTGTCCCCAAGGTGGATTATTTTTGCCCCATTTAAAAATTCAGCGATAATTTGACACTTTTATAGAATCTGTGAATAACATGGACCTTAGAAAGAGTCGGCATCATTTTGGCACTTTTCTGTACAAACATTTATCTTTTGACTAATCGAATGGAAACAATTCTCATAGCAGCTTTTTCTTTTCTTTTCTTTTCTTGCTGGCAGATGGGGTTTTATATGCCCTAAATATCAGGCTTGCTGTTCGTGAAGCTGCATTGTCTGGTCCATCAAGTAATTCTGAGGTTTCAGATGAGAAAAGCAGTGATGAGTCCGAGCATTTCTTTGTTCCGCTTTCCACCAGCCTTCCTGGAAAGGAGGCTGATGCTGTAATTAGTCACAGAAAACAGCCGCCCTTCTCTCCTGATAACGGGGAATGCATCGACCAAGTGTTCTCTCCTCCGTTTGTGATGAATGATTCATTCTTTGAGGATTCCTATGAAGACTTGCTTGGTAATGTTGATCCCACTCGATGGTTTTTTATACTGCTTTCCTTTTCATTGCTGATGGTGGTAATTCCAAATGACTCAGCCCTGGCATAGGGACTCATTGGACCCATTGCGTGTCACTAGTGCTGTTTTTTTTTTAAATCTGAAACCTTACAAATGTTGAAAAGTCATTATTAATTCAAAAAACAAGTTTCATAAAAATAATAATAATATTACATAAATTGCGGGGCACATTTGACTCGGCATCGATATAATATATCTATATATATTATATATTCTGACACACATATACATATATACATTCTATAGTTTATGCGCGCGCGCATATTTTTTAGCTATATACATATATACATTCTATAGTTTATGCGCGCGCGCATATTTTGTAGCTTATAGTATTCAGAACATGTACTTGAGCATTTATTTTATTGTGTATAAAATAATTTAAGTGGAATTTATTTTAGAAAAGTAGAAATGAATATTATTTTTAGCCAGCCATTGTAACCAAGTCTTTTTTTCATCAAGATTTATTATACTGGTTAAATTTATCGAAAAGGGAATAATTTAATTATTTAGTTATTATGTTGAGATTAACATATACAAGAGCAACAACAAGCTGTAACCCACGAAGTGGGGTTGGCTGCATGAATCCTTTTTCTCCATTGCTTCCTATTGAGAGTCATATTTTCATTTAATACTAATAAATTAAGATCATTTTTTTATACAATTGGCCCGACTTTTTCTAAGTTTACCTCTACCACTTAACACAAGTTGAATCTAAGACATCTATTCTTCTGATTAGATTATCGGATGGTAGACGTTTAATATGACCAAACCATCTAAGATGACTCTATAATTTTGTCCGCTACTAGAGCTACACTAACCCTACCATGGATATATTTTTTCACATTTTATCTCTCAGTGTCAAACCACTCATCTACCTACCCATTGTCGTCTCGGCAACACTTAACTTTCTTTTATGTTTCTCTTTTAAAGGCTAACAATCTGCGTCATAAAGCATTACATGTCTCATCATCATCTTATAAATTTTTCCTTTCAGTCTAAACTGTACTTTTCTATCTCACATGTTAGGAATATTTGATTTTGATTTTTTATTTGAAGATAATATCATAAATTAATCTTATGTTGAATAATTTTCTTTTTCAAATATATGAGGCTATCCCATGTTCTCGAGCAAAAACTGAAGTGTGCAGAACAAACCATCTGGTCGACTCTGTAGTAAATAACCATAATTTATTTACGGAAAAGATAACGATAATTTCAATATTAAACTGGTTGATTTGGATTAGCTATATTAAATCAAGCGAAAATTAGCAGCCCTATTATAGTGATTGCTGATTCTCGTTTACTTGCAGCACCACTGTCAGAGACTGACGCTGCCTTAATGGGAAGCCCAAGCTGGTTGGAGGGCAACTCATCTAATGCTTCAGGATAGTACAAACTTAACAAGCATTTGTTCTTTTAAATATAATTTAATTCACATCATGTAAATTTTATTTGTTAATTTCATTTGAATCTTTTTCACCCCAGTGAGCAAATTTAGTCTCAGATCTTAATTACGGCCTGTCAAAAATTGAGCTGATCTATCTCCTTTGGTTTTGACTGTTTTTTGAGAGGTTTAATGAGAGATTAGTGCATGTGCTGTTGTATATTTGTAACTCTAATTTTTTTTAAGGATCTATGAACATTTATAGCACTGGGAAATATATAATAGCTCTTTTTAAAAGTTGTATTTTTAACATTAATTCCACATTCAGTTGGAGCTGAGGTCTATGATTTATTATTGGCAGGTAATTTCCAAAGGATTAAATGTGATTTTATGTCAAGTTGATTTGTATAAATTTCTGATATTTGAGAGATTCATGGATAAATTTATTATGGATCTGCAGGTAACTTGCAAAGGATTCATTCTGATTTTATGTTAAGTTGATTTATGTGCACATTAAGTTACTGAGATTTGAGAGATTCATGGATATTAAAATTTATATATCGATTTTCTGCTTGCATAATAAAGCTTAGGCAATATGTACATTTAGAAATTTAGAAAAATCAATTGGTCATGCATTACTCCAGCGATTAAATGCGCATTGTAGGAACATCAATTTGGTTTGTTAGGATCAAACTTTGTGGAGCTAATTTGCTTGGTGTTGGTATGAAAGTTATATATATTCAAAAGAATAGTCGGAGGCTATCATACGAGCCCTGACCAGCCTAAGAATTTGAGTACTGCATTCTACACTCGCAAGAAATTGAAACCCAAACCAAAAAAGTAACTAACAAGTAAATGCCCGATGATCTGAGAATATCTAGAAATGAATGGTATTTTTAGCCAGCCATTGTGACCAAGTGTTTTTTTCATCGAGATTTATTATACTGGTTAAATTTATCGTAAAGGGAATAATTTAATTATTTAGTTCTTATGTTGAGTTAACATATACAAGAGCAACAACAAGCTGTAACCCACGAAGTGGGGCTGGCTGCATGAATCCTTTTTCTACATTGCATCCTATTGAGAGTCATATTTTCATTTAATACTAATAAAGTAAGATCATTTTTTATACAATTGGCCCGAGTCTTTCTAAGTCTACCTCTACCACTTAACAAGTCGAATCTAAGAGATCTACTCTCCTGATTAGATTATCGGATGGTAGACGTTTAATATGACCAAACCATCTAAGATGACTCTATAATTTTGTCCGCTACTAGAGCTACACTAACCCTACCATGGATATATTTTTTCACATTTTATATCTCAGTGTCAAACCACTCACCTGCCTACCCATTGCATCTCGGCAACACTTAACTTTTTTTTATGTTTCTCTTTTAAAGGCCAACAATCTGCATCATAAAGCATTACAGGTCTCGTCATCATCTTATAAAATTTTCCTTTGTACTTTTCTATCTCACATGTTAGGAATATTTGATTTTGATTTTTTATTTGAAGATAATATCATAAATTAATCTTATGTTGAATAATTTTCTTTTTCAAATATATGAGGCTATCCCATGTTCTCGAGCAAAAACTGAAGTGTGCAGAACAAACCATCTGGTCGACTCTGTAGTAAATAACCATAATTTATTTACGGAAAATATAACGATAATTTCAATATTAAACTGGTTGATTTGGATTAGCTATATTAAATCAAGCGAAAATTAGCAGCCCTATTATAGTGATTGCTGATTCACGTTTACTTGCAGCACCACTGTCAGAGACTGACGCTGCCTTAATGGGAAGCCCAAGCTGGTTGGAGGGCAACTCATCTAATGCTTCAGGATAGTACAAACTTAACAAGCATTTGTTCTTTTAAATATAATTTAATTCACATCATGTAAATTTTATTTGTTAATTTCATTTGAATCTTTTTCACCCCAGTGAGCAAATTTAGTCTCAGATCTTAATTACGGCCTGGCAAAAATTGAGCTGATCTATCTCCTTTGGTTTTGACTGTTTTTTGAGAGGTTTAATGAGAGATTAGTGCATGTGCTGTTGTATATTTGTAACTCTAATTTTTTTTAAGGATCTATGAACATTTATAGCACTGGGAAATATATAATAGCTCTTTTTAAAAGTTGTATTTTTAACATTAATTCCACATTCAGTTGGAGCTGAGGTCTATGATTTATTATTGGCAGGTAATTTCCAAAGGATTAAATGTGATTTTATGTCAAGTTGATTTGTATAAATTTCTGATATTTGAGAGATTCATGGATAAATTTATTATGGATCTGCAGGTAACTTGCAAAGGATTCATTCTGATTTTATGTTAAGTTGATTTATGTGCACATTAAGTTACTGAGATTTGAGAGATTCATGGATATTAAAATTTATATATCGATTTTCTGCTTGCATAATAAAGCTTAGGCAATATGTACATTTAGAAATTTAGGAAAATCAATTGGTCATGCATTTTTCCATCGATTAAATGCGCATTTTAGGAACATCAATTTGGCTTGTTAGGATCAAACTTTGTGGAGCAAATTTGTTTGGTGTTGGTATGAAAGTTATATATATATATGTTCAAAAGAATAGTCGGAGATTATTATACAAGCTCTAACTAGCCTAAGAATTTGAGTACCGCATTCTACACTCGCAGGAAATTGAAACCCAAACCAAAAAAATAACTAACAAGTAAATGCCCGATGATCTGAGAATATATATATAGAGAGAGAGAGAGAGAAAGAGAGAGAGAGGATGGGTGGGGGTCAAAATAAAAATTGTGGTTGCAAGGATTAAAAAAAATAATAGGAAATCAACCATTTAAAAAGTGTAAATGGGAATTATAACGGTAATAAAAAAATTTTAATCCCATTATCTCTTAGGCCATGCATTCACTCGTAACCTAAATCCTATTTCAAGGTTTTGGAAAACAAACCGGACATTGAATTGACTAAGAGAGAGATTTAAGTTTTAGAAAATGAATTGAGGTTGAACCCGATGTTGACTTTGGAAATGTCATAAATATAAAAAAATTAGATATAAATCAAATGTTGTAATAATATCATAATGTGTAGTATTAAAAAAAATTATTACGAAATTTAAATCATGTATTAACTTAAACAGCTCATTTAAATGATTAACATTTTCTTTTATAACATATATAAATGTTGGTTCTGTAAAATATTCAAATTCATTCCTTAAAAAAATTGTTTCTAAGAAATTTGAAAAAAAAAATAGAAGAAAATGTTAGCATAAATTAAGAAGGATTGGTATGTAAATAAAAAAAAAAGAAAATAATACTAAGTACTCAATTGAATAAGTGCATGCAAATTGTAGTGGACATATAATACAAATATAAGTTTTCATATATTAAGATAATGAACAATTAATATATATATATGATACTCTATTACTGCATGAAGACTATTATTCCACTAAAAAAAAAAGTCTCTTAAAAAGTGCAAAAAAAATAAAATAGATATCGAACTCCCAAAATTTGTCTCTCAAAAAGCACAAAACATAAAAAATAGATATAAAAAATGAAATTCATACAAAATAACCTATTATAAAATCAAGTATTCATAAATCAATTTTCTAAGATAATTTTATCACCAAGATGATTAAATTTAATAGAAATAAAAGTAACACTTATTGCTAGTTTGTTTATTATTTCTATAAGCTCTTTAGTGATTAGAATTTTATCATCTTATAAATTTCAATTTCTAGATTGTCTTAATAATTCAAGAGCACATTTATTTTCAAAGATCCAAAATCTTTGGCATCAATGCTTGTGTAATTCAATGGATCATATTTTTTTTTTTTTAAATGCAACATATACACTAAGATGATAAAATCATAAATTATCATCACAAGTAAAAGTAATATCACGCAAATATAAGAAAAGTTTGTATTACGAGCATAATTATTCATCAGATTGAGATCATATCGAACATATGCTTAGTTATTTAATTTTTGATGTTGCAAATGATTTCCTTATTTTATTTGAATTTGCTTAAAAATACTTTTCTAGTTTTTGGATCTTCAATATCCACCTCTCCATATGGGCAGACTTTTTTAACAGTAAATGGCTCTAACCATTTGGACTTAAATTTTTCATGAAATAATTTCAATCTAGTGTTATACAACAAAACTTCTTGTCCGGGTTCAAATTTCTTTCTTATTATCTTCCGATCATGTCATTCTTTCATTTTTTCCTTAAAAATTCTAGCATTATCATAATATACATTTCTAATTTCTTCGAGCTCATTCAATTGCAATAATCTTATCTCACCAGCTTCTTTCAAATTGAAATTGTATTCCTTTATAGCCTAATAAACTTTATGATCCAACTCTACTGGCAAGTGACAAGTCTTCCCAAAAAATAATCTATAAGGGAACATACATATATTCCTAAAGGAATTTTATAAGCTGTACTGTAAGTCCATAATACAATATCTAATCTAGCAGACCAATCCATTTTGTTAGCATTTATAGTTTTTTCCAAGATTCTTTTAATTTCATAGTTAGTTAATTCTGCTAGAGCACTAGTTTGGGGATGATAAACTGTGGAGATCTTATGTTATATATCATATTTTCAAAACAATTTTTCAATTCTTTTATTTCTAAAATGAGATCCCCCATCTGTAATGTTTACTCTAGGCATTTCATATCTTATAAAAATGTTTTTCATTAAAAATTTTGAAACACTCCGAGCATCACAACGAGGTAAAGCAACTGCTTCGATCCATTTGGAAACATAGTCTAGTGCAATTATAATATATAAATTTTTTAAAGAGGGAACAAATAATCCCATAAAATCTAATCTCCATACATCAAATATTTCAACTTCCAATGTAAAATTTAGGGGAATTTCATTCATTTTTGAAATATTTCCTACTCGCAGACATCGATCACATGTTTTTATATATGTATTAACATCCTTAAATAGAGTATGCCAATAAAATCTAGATTGTAAAATTTTATATTTTGTTCTACCAATTCCAAAATGTCCCCCAAATTCAGAATCGTGACATTTTTTAATAATCTTTTCAGTTTTTCATATGGTACACATCTTCAAATAACCTGATCTTTACATTGCTTATATAAATATGTGTCATCCTAAAAGTAAAATTTTGCATCGTGAATAATTTTTTTATGTTGTTGCGTTGTCGATCAATTGGGTAAAAGATCACTAACAATATAATTCACTATGTTCGCATACCATGACACATGTCATTCAATAATAGTGTACAAATGTTTAACAGGAAAATTTTCATTAATTTCACTTTCATAATTAAATGTTTTTTCTTGTTCCAACTTAGA